GATGGATGAACTATATTTTAAGATGGATGTAGTGTGTTAGACTATTTGGTTCTCTAGTCATTAGGCCCTGTTCGAAACAAAGAAACGAAAAACTCAAAAAGAGTAAAAAACGTAAAAAATATAATAGGGTAAAGTCCAAACTAAGAAATTCCAACATGGAAACATGCAATTTCGGCTGATTCGATGAAGCAAATGGATTTTTTTTTCATTTCGATCAAAGTAGAAGTTTTACTTTTTATGAAAATGGAGGTATTGCTACGTTTCTAATGTTGGAATTAATGGATGTGCCTTAGTACATTCAACGATTAATTGTTCGAAAAATCACAAAATCCTACATTATAGGATGGCATGCATGATGACTTTAGTACCACATTGGCTATTCTAGGAGATAGAGACCTCCTTATAAGGGAGGATTGTCTCTTGGCCACTTCAGGCATCTGAGATGAGATGAAGAGAACAAAGGGAACACAAGCGGGCGCTCTCCGGCCTCGCATCGTGAGGCGCGTGTGCACGTCACACGTGTCAAAAGGTCACACTCGGAGTTTTTCCCTTTTCCGTAGTTTCTAAATCATTGATAAATCGTCTATAGAAAACACTATGTTTAACCAGGAGAAATCATCTATAGAAAACACTATGTTTAACTAGGAGAAATCGTCTATAGAAAACACTATGTTTAACCAGGAGGAAAACCCTAATTAGCAATATAATTGGAATAGTCAGGGAGAAAGTTTTTCTAAATCATTGACAAATCACGCTATGTTTAACCAGGAGGAAACCCTAATTAGCAATATAATTGGAATAGTCAGGGAGAAAGTTTTTCTAAATCATTGACAAATCGTCTATAGAAAACACTATGTTTAATTAACCAGGAGGAAAACCCTAATTAGCAATACAGTCAGGAGGAATACCCTAATTAACAATATAATTGGAATAGTTAGGGAGAAAGTTTCTAAATCATTGACAAATCGTCTATAGAAAACACTATGTTTAACCAGGAGGAAAACCCTAATTAACAATACGGTTAATAATTAGAATAGTCAGGGAGTATTTTTTTCAAATTATTTTTGCTTTAAATCAATAGCAGGACTTTAAAAGGAATAGTCAGAGCAGAGGAAGTAATAATGTTAACTTAAAGAAAAATGCCAGGATTTGAATTCAAAATTGTTTCCTCTCTCTTTCCTTTGGTCGTGAATCATTCCCGATTCACTCTCCTCGTTCGCGGTTCCTCGTATCCGCCAACCCCTTTGTCGCCGCGGTTTCGTTTTTTATGACAAGATGACTCCTAATTCTTTTCCTTTCCCGAAATGGCACCGTTTCCCTCTCATTTCCTATTTGGATTCCCCCTCCCACCATAATTCTTTCCCCCTCTCCCTCTTGGCCTGCGCGCCCGCACCCTCTCCTACTTGGCTGCCGAAGCCGCCGCGCCCTCCCTCTCTTTGCGCGCATTACCGCCGAACCCACCCTAACCTAATCCAACTCCACCTCCACCTATATAAGTCATCATACCCCCTCCTTTTTTCTATTTTCCTACGTCGTCAAACCCTAGCCGTCGTGTCACACCTGGAGTTTTCCCTTCCCTTAGGTTCCAAATCGCTAAAAAATGACTTCAAGAATTTGCTTGGGTTAACCAAGAGAAAACCCCAGTTAACAATGCATTTAATAATCGGAATTGCCAGAGAGAATTTTCTTCGAATTCTCTTTACTCTGAAAATCACTAACAGGACTTAAAGAGTAAATATTCGATCACTGGAGGCAATGTTGCTAAGTTAAAAGTGTCAAGATAATAATTTCCTTCCTTTGCCTTTGGTCGTGAGTTGTGCACAATTCACTTCCCTCTCAGTCCGCAGTTTCGTTTTGCATGACGAACCGTATCAGTGTCAGTTCGCAGGACTGTTTCCTTTCTTTTCCTAAAACAGCACCGGATTGTTTTTCCTTTTTGGGAAAGTCCTAGTCTCCCCTAGTTTCCTTTTTTCCTTCCCCTCCCCCAGCCGGCCGCACCCTCTCCCACGTCATGCCACGCACGCCTTCCCTCCCCTTGCCCGAGTCGGTCTCCCTCCCCTCCTTCTAGTCCAACTCCCTCTAGGACTCCTCCTTTCCTAATCTAGTCCTCCCCTATTTAAGTGTTCCCTCACTGTTTTCTTTCATTTTCCTCCCCTAGCTGCCGCGCCGCCCTAGCCCGCCGCCGCCGCCGTCCTAGCTAGGTGCCACCGCCGCCCTAGCGCGCCATCACCACTGCTGCCCTAGCTGTCGCGCCGCCACCGTCGCCGTCGTCGCCCTCGCGTCGCCAGTAATCCATTATCCCTCTCAATTGAATTGGTTAAACCCAATGTCGATTGTCTCGCTGTCTAACCTAGCCCGTTGTGTCCTCTCTAGCGCCGCACCGTCATCGATCTTGTGCTTGCTGCCAGACCACCGCCGCCGTCGTCGTGTTCCCTCGCCGGTTTTGCACCCCGGTGAGAAGCTCCCTCCTGTTGGTATTTGGTTCCCGTGTGTCATAGTAGCTGCGTCGCAGCTGTTGCGCCCTAGCCGAGCCATTGCCGTGCCCTAGCCGCTGCCGCTCCCTAGCCGTTGTGCTGCGTTGCTGCCAAGTGCCGCCGCCGCACCGCCGCTCCTATCGCCGCCATGCTGGGCCGCTGCCGCCACCGAGAAGAGCCGCCTAGCCTCCGCTGCTGCCGAGCCGCTGCCGTTGCGCCACGTGCCATGCCTCCGCCGTGCGTCTTTGCCTAGCCGCCGCTTTAGCCGTAGCTCCGTAGTTGAGTTGCCTAGCCGTCGGTGCAACCCTAGGTTCTTACCAGCCTATTGTTTGCCGTACCGAGGCTTTATCGTGAATCGTGTCTAGCGTGCAGTCGTTGTTGAGTCGTCCGCTCGTTCGTTCGAACAAGGTGTCCCCTGTGGTTCGTTCGTTCGTCCATCCCGAATCGTCCTTAAGTTAGAGCCGTTTAGAGCCACCGATTCCGCTCGCCGGTCTCAGTTGATGATTTGGGTGATCCCGTGTCACGTGGAAGTGACTTGTTGAGTCCGTATCTCGTGAGGCTCGTTTGCCAGTCAATCTATCCTTTGATCCTACATTCCTTTTGGGCTCTAATCTCTGTAAATTAACTAAGGTTTTTTGTTATTAGTAATAACACAAAGTATCTTGTAAAATTCATAACTAAATAATCTGCGCTCCGTTTTAACCCATTCAAATTGCAGTGAATTCGTTAAAATGCCAAGAATCCATTAAAATTGGTTTGTTTTGCTGTTTTAGTAGCTTTATAGCTTGTATTTATTGTGTGCCTTGTTTGTCGTTTAGACTCCGGCAGTTCAGACGCTCCAGTTTATTTTGAAGTGGTCGCTGAGTTCCCGTCATAGGAAAATGGCAAGTCTAGTATGGTAAACCAAGTGGCATCTAAGATAAATTTTGTGTAATTTTATTTTGTCCATTTTGGTTGCTATTTACCATCCTATGAAGTTTCTGTTTTAGATTCTAAACAAGCTCAGATTCTAAACAATCGAGTTGAAAATTTCATAAAATTTGAGCTGAAAATTTCAAAAAATCGAGTTGAAGGTTTTATTAAATTTGATATGAATGTTTATTAAGTTTAGGTGAAAGTTTTAAAAAAATGAGTTCAAAGTTTTTTCAGGGCAAAAGTGGCGAATACAACATCGACAAGGTCCCACAACGAGTGCAATCTTCTGTCCCTCCCCCTCGGGACCAAGCCACGAAGAAATTAACTCCTAGGAAAAGAAAAACCAACTAGCTAGATTTATGTGAAAAAATGTATTTAATTAGTCTTTATGAATGAACTATGGAAGTGTACTTTATGTGTAATGCATTTCAATATTTACTATTATTATGGATTCTATTTTATGCTTTCTATTATAGGCTCGATGACTTGAGGACAAGAAACTTTTAAAATCATATGCTCACCCCATGTTGGAGGTAAAAAACAATCACGTTTATATTTTTGCACTTATGAATTCTTAGATATTCTAGACCTAGGAATTTTTCAGTTACGATATATATGTAAATGTTTAAAGCATTTGAGATGTTATAGAGCTCTAGCGATTTAGTCAAGTCTCCTGGGATGTGTAACACATCCGGTCGCTGCCTTCGTGTGGTTTGACGGGCACGTCTCAGGCTAAAGTTGACTGGCACGCTGAGTCCCAGCAATATCTCTTTTGCTCTTTACTCGAGGATATGAATGTAAATTATATGGAAATGTCTAGAATTTACACTTATACTTTTCTGGACTGATGAATTTTAGACTTTTGAATTTCTGACCTAAGGATATATGTGCAAATTAATGTTCACAATTTAGACTTAGAATTTTTTGGACTTAAAAATTTTAGACTTACAATCTTTTGACTTAGGAATTTTAAACTAGGTATATTTTGAGTTAGGTTATATATGCAAATGTTTAGGATTTAAAGATAGGAAATTTTGGACTTTCGAATTTTGACTTAGGCTTGTAGGTTTTTATATGTTGTGATTAATGGCTCGTAGGTTTTTATTTGTGTTGATGAATGTGAATGTGAATGAATGTGCTGTATGGATGTGGGGCTGTGGGGATAAATTTGGGTTTATATGGAATTGGGGTTGTGTGGATGAATTTACTATAATTTTTTTGACCCAATAAATAGGTGCCAGTTTTTAGGCTTGAACCGACGCCTATTAGGACCGTATTGGTGCCGGTTTTAAACTAAAAACCGGCACCTATTTAACAGTTACGTTGCAATCTGGCTTAGAACTGGCACCTATTTAAACCATATAGGTACCGGTTTTTAGGTCAAAACGCCTCCTTAATGCCGGTTCGGAAAACCGGCACTTATTAGCTAGGGTTTCGACCGGCACCTTTTACCCTTTCTGTAGTAGTGAAAGCTTGGTCATTGCTAAATGATGCTTATACCTCTCCAGACCATTTTTTAAAAAATAATATCCCTCCACATTTATCCTACCACTAACTAGGGTGGTAATATAAATAGAGCACAGTAGTGGGGAGTATGTGGGCGGGCTTATTTCATAGTTTACCCAAAATGCTGCTATCTATCCAAATCTCAAAGCGAAGTAGGCAATGACACAACTGATTAGAAACATAAATGGATGTAGAAGATACAATAACTTGCAGGAATCACAACAATAAAAAATTATGCTCGTATTAATCCAAGCATTTATTAACTAAGTCCAGCAGTTCTTCGCCTGATCCTGCTGGTAGAGCAGGACTAATACTACTCTTAGTTACCAATTTTACTTGAGGAGGTCTCCGGTTCAGCCAATTCAGGCAATGGCCCATCACTCTCCAGGAAATCCATTGCTTGTTGCACGGTAGGCCGCATGTCAATATTGGGCTGACAACACCATAACCCCAAGATGATGACACGCTCCATCTGCCTCTCATCAAACTCACCTCTTAACCTGTCATCAGCTACCTGCATCAGAGACTTCTCTAGATACCGGCTCCACACTTTCGCAAAGCTATTTTCATCCTTCTTGCACGCAATCTCTAGCAGAACAATCCCAAAGCTGTAGACATCCGAGCTGCGCTTGAACTTTCCCGTCTTTTTGCATTCTGGATCCAGGTATCTGGCCTTGCCTACCTTGTCAGCAGTTCTGGACAGCCCGAAGTCTGCTAGCTTGGCGTTGAACTCTTTGTCCAGGAGTATGTTGTTTGGTTTGATATTTCTGTGAAGGACGAATGGACGTCTTTCATGGTGGAGGTGAACCAGAGCTGCGCAAATGTCCTTCACTATTTTATACCTGACAGATGATACATGCATAGACAATATGTTAAATTAAAGAGACAATTTTACAACCTTAAGAAGACACCGGGATCGTACCAAATTTTCTAGTTTAAAACTTGGTACCTATTAGTATCTCGACGTACCAAAATTTTAAGTGTACTTTCTCAAGCAACGTAAAATATCTCATGTTAAAGACTTAATTTTGATACCACTTTAATTATTTACTTCCATGTTTCAAAAAGGAAATTAAACAGCATCGCTCATCAAGTAGATGTACAGGTACCTCGTTGTCCATGGAAGCACAGCCTCCTTCTCGTGCAGGTGAACACGGAGGTTACTGTTATCCACAAATTCATACACCAAGAAAATGGTATGGGCCTTCTCCCTACACCAGCACATGAAATCAAACATGTTCCATCTACGCTTCACGCACCAACCGACAAGTTCAACGAGATTCTTGTGCTTTGCACTGCTGATGGTTTTCACTTCGTCATAGAAGTCCTTATTACTTCCTTCTGATCTGCTCTCCTTCGAAATCTTCTTAATCGCAACATGACGGCCCATTTCCTTGAAGAAACCCTTGTAGCCTTCACCGAACGGACCAGCTCCAATCAGCCTATTCTCAGAGGAGAACTGATTCGTTGCAGCAGCCAACTCGTTGTACTTGAACTGCCTAACACCTCCAGTTCTCTTGTCAATGTCGCGGCTTGAGCTTCTCCATTTCCACCATGATAGGATAGACCACACCAGAAGCAAAAATATGGGAGCTCCAACAATCGCAAACTTTCCTGCTGCCCCTTTCTTTTTGTGATGACCTGCATATCCATGGTGCCATGATAACAGATTTACAGGTATTTATTAGTAATTAGCTAGATGTGCGTTATTGAAAATAAATGATAATAACATGAGGTGCAAAATGAATTTGCTTTGTAGCTATATAATTTGACCTCAATGCTAGGAATATTGAAAGATGTAGGTCCATAGGAGGAGAGATATAAAATGGATAAGTGATCGGTGAGACCATATTCAATGATGGGGAGTCGCCCTATGGATTTAAAAATGGGGACTGGTTATTCCTAAGTCCAGCATGTGCCAATAATCGGTTCATGCACACCAACAAAAATAACTATTTTTTGAAGTGGGTCGACTCTTTTGTTACACTACTATGCACTATGTCAGGGGCCCGCGGTCATGGAAGACCTTTAAAATTGACTCTATTAAGATGAAAATTGACTCTCAGATACGGTTGTTTTAAGTTCTTCTCTTTGAAAATGAATAAATATAGCCTTATTTGTTGGGACAGTTGTTTTGAGTGACTGTGTCTCTCTGAAAATGATTCCACTCATACGTGCATTTTTTACATAATTTTTTCTATGAAATCGGATAAATAAAAACTTTATATTAAAAATTATAGATCAATTACATACTCCAAATTACGTTAGCAGTTTCATATCTATTTGGATCACTGATTTTTAAGAGAGTTTTAAACTACCTTAGATGGACACAGTGTTATACATAAAAGTTGTAGACTTTGACGAGATCCATATTTTTTTTTGTTGATGATATTTTTTCTATGTGACCAGGTAGCATGTCCATTGAAGTAGGAAGTGCTTTTGTAGGTCAGATGCTATGGAGGCTACGCGGGCAACCGGAGGTTCTGGGTTTGAATACGCTGTACGCACATGTATTTCACACAAAATCATTTGAATATACAAATTATTTTCCCCTCTTTTGTATAGAAAAACTCGATGCGTGGAAATTGATTTCCAAAGGCTGCATACATAAATGCAACAATTAATGGTGTTCGGTCAGATGCAAAGGCTAAATGCCACGTGTACATGCCACATCACCTGCATATGCAAATTCAACATTTAAAATGTCAATTCTACCCTTACATTCTCCATAGGAAATAAATAAAGATAACTAAGAAAAAAAAGGCATTTGGCCATTGGAAAAAAGTGTTGCATTCGTAACTAAAGAATGTGGCATTTTCCTTTTGTTTATATCTAGCCATCTGTAAAACATGTGGTTTCTATAGTAGGAGCAAAATGCAGAAAAATATGGATAAGCCACGAAAGCGTGTGTAATTTGGAATGGAATAATGACTTGCATTTGCATGTGCATCAATATCAGTGCAAATTGCATCAATAAAAAAATAATCCTGAGCTGAATAGATTCCCAATATACCGGCACATCACGTGGAAAATGAACATGGATGCAAGTGATCACAAATATCAATGCCGCTAACACACCTAGGCATAATGCATGTAACCGCGGATTAATCAACAACAAATTTAACGGGATAAAAAACAAGCTGTATATATACCAAATAAATGTGCTATCTGTTCTAAATCTTACTATAGCTAAAAGTATTTGTGAATTTTTGAATGAAGATATTTGAAATTCACGAATTCGTTAGTTTTCCAGATTTTGGAAAATAAAAAATATTTTCTTGGCAGAAAAGAACATGTCGACTTTCTTTTTTACCCAAAAATAAAACTGAAACTATTCAAAGTTATACTTCATCCGTCCCAAAATATAACAATTTTTCCATCAGCATTCTCTTCCCAACCAATCAGAACCCTCCAACATTTATTTTTCTCACTTACCTCTACTTCTCAACCAATCACAACATCTTCCCGTTTAATTCTATGCCTATTCTTAATAACCGTATCCAATTCTAAAACTTCTTATATATTTTGGTATGGAGAGAGTCGCTGTTGCTTACCTTTGGTTACGGGATGTGGAGACGCAAGAGTGGAGTTGAACGACCATGACAGTATCTGATCGAGCTGGAATGTTGCGCCGTTCGCCGTAGAAAATCCCACGGCCACCTCCGATGGCAGCAACGCCCTGGGATCTCCAAGTTTCGCACTCACCTGAACAGGGGCAGCACGCGAAGCAGTAGTCTGATCAGTAAACTGCACGGTGGCGACCAGCATCCTGGTGACATTGTCGAAGGTGATGGACGCCCTCATGGCCCCGTTCCTGCTGAAGTTCAAGCTCGTCGTGTTAATCGAGTCGGCGACGCTGCTGACATCGATGCCGATGTGGTCTCCGGCCGGCCTCGGCCGTTCGAAGGTGTCATCGTATGTGTCGAACTCGACGGCGATGAACCGGTCCGGGCCGTCGCCGGCGTGGTCGGCGTCGCCGGCGATGAGGCCGAAGCTCTGGCCGCTGGGGTTGGGGGGGACGCGTGAGGGGTAGCTGGAGAGGAAGAAGGCCATGCCGTCTCCCCTGGCCACGTTGTCCGGGGTGACGATCTTGAAGGCGAACTCGGTGGCGAAGCTGGCCACCTCGTTGGTGGCTCTGTCCCAGAGTGGCACAGCGCGGCCGTAGGACATGCGCCCCGTCGTGCACTGGGCGACGTTGCAGGTGAGGTCGACGGTGGCGCCGTGCACGGCGGCCGTGCCCTCGAATCGGAGGTCTTCTAGGCGGTAGGTGTAGGTGTTGGAGAAGTCGAATTTGAAGGAGAATGGTGGTGGTGGTGGTGGAGGAAGAGTTGTTGCTGCAGCTTCAGTGCAATGGTGATGGGGAGCATCGTCGAGCGAGAAGGCGAGGAGGAGGAGGAGGAGGAGGAGGAAGAAGCGTAGGAGGAGGTGAGAGATGTCCATGTTTTGTTGGAGTGGTCGAGTGAAGGTGGAATTGGTAACGATGCAAGCTGGGATGAAGAGCTGGAAGCTGATCGGCTATATATAGAGAGCCTACGTGCTTTTATAAGCCGTTTTTGTTGGGAAATTGTTTAGAGTCATGGCAGTTTTATATGCACAGCAGGACAACTCATGGTACGGTACGTACTTACTATAACCTGAGTTTGGATTTTGTGATTCGCTTGTTTATTATGAACACACCTCTCAAACCGATAAAAGGTTTGTTCTTTTAAAGAAATATTATATATATATATATATTAAAAATAAATCAAATAAATCGATTTATCAAATTTTTAATACTTCACTAGTACAGAAATCAATTTTCAGATGGACATGCATGTGGCTAGGCGGCCTGCATGCACCCACTTAAAAAATTCAGAACTCCAAACCGATCGAAACCCTAGCCCACAACCCGTAGAAACCCTAGCTCCCGAGTCAATGTTGTCACCACTGCCGCTACCTCCACCGTCGTCCGCCTCACCGCCCACCGCACCCGAGAGGGATTGGGGCAGTCACTGTCGTCATCTTGGATGCAGCCTGCCGCAGGAAGAGGGTGCTACCAATCGGGACTAAAGATCTATATTTAGTCCCAGTTGTTAAACAACCGGAAATTAAAATCAACCCTGATCGGCGCACTTCCTGGCAGCCTTCTTTCTCTCCGATATAATCCCTCGTCTCGATCCCTTCAACACCTTATCTCTTTTCTCCTCCTCTTCTCCTCAGATCCGGCCCCCTCTCTTCCCCCTCCTCCCCTCCCCTTCCGGCGGGCGGCAGCGGAGTGAGCCGGCCCCGCGACAGGCGGCTGGGCGGCGGCCTCACGTGGGCCCGCACGAGGGGCGGCGGCGGCGGCGGCACGAGGGTGGCACAAGGGGTAGCTGTGGGTGGCGGCGGGAGGCGGCGGCCTCGAAGAGCCGCGGCAATTACGGCCGGGCAGAGGGCCGCGGCTACCTAGGCAGCCGCGGGCGGTGACAGCTCGTCTCCCTCCCAGCGCTTGTTTTTTTTTTTGTTGTTGTTTATGTGAATCTGCGATGTGTGGTGATGTTGTGTATGAATCTGTGAATTTTATTGAGTATGTGATTTTGTGATGTCAATGAAATGTGAATTTGTGTTGTTATTTTGATATGTGAATTAATTTGTGATCTACGATTTGTGATGAGTTTGGCTTAAAATCAATATGCAAACAGAAAAAAACAATAGAAAAACATTTAGCCCACAAACCAGCACTAAAGATCTATATATCTTTAGTCTCGTTTATTTTAACCGGAACTAAAGATTGAGTATCTGGTTGCATACCCAGGAAAAGAGAGGGTTGCGAACCGGGAGTATTGTGGGGTTCTCCAGTAGTGACTATTGTAAAATTTGAATATGTTTTTGTCGTTATTTTGGTATGTCATCCGTGTTTAAGCCGGCTTTTAAGATCATTTGCTTTGGGAAAATATATATGCGTGTTTGAATTCGATTTTAAGCTCGTTTGCTTTTAAAAATACAAAATCAGTCATATAAGAAATCTCTTTAGAAAACTCCACCTACTAACTTGAGATGAAAAGTCGGACTCCTAACTGCAGCTCATGATTTTTTAAAAATAAATCGAAACGAATTCCCACAGTGAATTTTACCATAACTAAACTGTATAACAATAATAAAATTAAAACAGTATTTACCCGTCGCAATGCACGGGTATTTTTCTAGTAAATACTTATATGTTGAAACGGATAATACATGACTACATGGAAAAAAAGATTCCTATAAAACCAAATCTCTAGACGACCCATCTTAATTAAAACACTAGTTTAATTCAAAAAAAAAATTAAAACACTAGTTCAGTTATGAAATTAAACGATTAATCTTAGATGCCAATTATCCCATACGTGTCATGTTTTGTTCCCCGTGTTTACGACGATAAATAGGATTATACACTTAAATCTAAAGTGGCTCTTGAGTAAATTAATACTGTGATTATATTGTATGTTGAAAAAATAGATATGTACACATACGCATAGTTTTTTTAGAGGAATTAAAAAGTCTTCAAATAGGGATCCGCGGACGATGTCTGGGATATGTAATAGATTATTGCGATCTTTCCGTAACTTTCTTCACCATCATTTCTTATTTAACCTTTTTAACATTGTAAATTTTCAACTTTGTAACGTTCAATTCATTTATAATCGTCTATCATCTTCATCTATATGGCAATGAATGAACTAACTCTTTTTTTCTAGATAATGAATTAACTAACTCTAACACTAAGATGTTTGTATAAATAGAGATATTTTTTTAGGCAAGTGGAAGTAATTAGCTACAGTATATATTATATGAGTGTATATTCTAGGGTATATTCCATACTTTGTTCTCCATTACAAATTAATAATCTTATGAATATTCTCTAGGGCTTCTAGCCTAGATCCGGTACCCTAGGAGGTATCTACCTCGAATGGTGATAGTGAGAAACTAGGGGCGGATCCAACCTGATGCATGGGATTGAACAGCACCTTCATCACAGCACATCAGTTAAATTAAATTAATTACTCTAGCTAGTATTTATGTAATATCAAAGAGTCTGTCATTAGGATTAGAATGAAAGTTGGGGATAAGGATAAAGAAATTGAAGGTATTTTAACTTCAACATATTTAATCTTGAATTCTGATCTTATTTCACAATATATATACACCCTATATATTCCTATTTCTAACTATTCTTGCCACACATAATATATATCCAAGTTCCGATAAGAGCTAAAACAGTTCCTAGAAAATATATAATACAAAATTTGAAGTGAAATTCCTACTATACCTTCTAGAAACTGACCCATGCTGCAACTTGCAATAATTTGTAACTAACGATAACATTAATATGTTGTACGATTGTACTTTATCTCCCCAATAGCTGGTAAATTGTTATAGATTTTTATCTTGATTTTGTTGCACCCTTGCTTCGCTACTAGCTATAACAGACAAGCTCGCCGTTACCCAGGAGCTTAGGGGGGAAGTTTTGGTGGGATAAGAAATAGTAATATTAACTACTTACGGCTTTTGATGAAAGAGATAAATACCAATAACTATGCTAGGTAAGGAGCAACTAATTAGCAAAGTGCTAACTCCATCCCATTTTAAACGCAGTCCTGAGTTTCCGTATTATTTGTACTTTTTCTAGAATTTTTTACGATATTTCTTAGTTGGTGTGCATTAATCATGTGCAAGGAAATTTATGTGTATAGGATGTGTGAACTTAGGCCGCGTTCGATAGCGAGAGATCGAGGGGATTTGGTGAATTGTGCACTGTTCAGCACTGTATATGTCTGAATAATTTACTGCATATTAAATGGCGTTGGTGACTAAACGTGGCACCTGTACAAACGGCACAGACGGCATTTGGATGGATCGATTCGTCGGCCCATCCGTCCCCAACCCACCACCAGCGCAAGCAGCCATGCTCGCTCTCTCTCTCTCCCATCGATCCCCTTCTTCCTTCGCCAAATTTTCTCGGTCGTCGACGGCTCCACGCGCAGTCGTCGTGGCTGGAATCGTTGTGCCCTACTGCTGAGCCTCGTCCGGTGGTCGTCGTGGTCAGCCTGGGGCTGTTAGGCACACGGAGAAATCGACCACTCGTCACGGGAGCTGCTGAAAAGGCGAATCGAGGCCGGAGAAAGGGGATTCTCTGGCGGAGCTGCCATCAAGCCAGGCGGAAGTCGGGGAGCGCTGCCGGTGTTGTCTGCGTCACCTAGCTGCTCATCAGGCTCTGCAGCTTTGGCCGCATGCGGCTGTACTCGGTGGAGTGCTCTCGGGTGTCACAGTGTCGTCAAGATTCGGCAGAGTTGGAAGCTTTCTTCTCGCCTCCGGCCTCCTATTTGAGGCCTCCTTCTCCGGGTGGACAATGGGCACCAGGGGAACAAAGTGGAAGAGAGGGGAGGACATCCATCCGTCGACTGCAGCCAAGGGGTAGGCTGTGCCTTTGGCGTTCGCCGCACCGGCTCCTCACGGACTGCTCATCAATCTGGATTCGGGGACGGGGTCGAGCGCCTCTGGCAAATCTGACGCCAGCTCTGCCCCTCCTTGTGACAATGACATCAATGTGGCCGCCCGCTTCCTAACAGCCGTTTGTGCGACCTCCCCAGAAGGCGTTCGCTCTTTCGTCCGTCGTGTGTTGCCGGCGACGGTTGTTCGGTCCCTCGATTTGGACCTGATCCGGCCCATCTCGCCACAAAAGGTAATGCCCATTGTAATTTGTTTTTGATCCATTGCATTTGTGCTTTGTTAACATTGGGTGGTAGATGGCGGAGGGTAAAATCCGATGGAGCGACGATGAAATTGGCATATTTCTTGAGGCATGCTTGGAGGAGTTGTCCGCAATGACCATAACATCCACTTGTCCAAAGCCGCAAGGCTACAAGAACCTCATACAGAAGATGAAGGAGAGAATCGGAAGAAACCTCACCAAGGATCAAGTGAAGTACATATGGCGTCAATGTCGTAAAAGGTGGATGCTTTGGACGTGGCTGGAATCAAAGGCTACCGGCATTGGCCGTGACCCGATAACTCAAGCCATTGTTGCTGACGACGATTGGTGGGAAGACAAGGACCAGGTATGTCACCTACCCTTATGTTGTGTTCGGTCGAACTAGGAAGATAGTGATTTCCATACTGATTTGCATTAACACAAGGACCCATGACATTTGTTTAGTTCATGAAATCTCCACAGTTATCTATTTTTAGGTATAATCATACATATTGTTCATAGAAAGTGTTATGTACCTTTGTAAAACCTTGTGTTTCTAGGCTACAAAATCAGAATGTAATTTTTTTGCTATAATGAATGGGGGTACAATTTCTCTGTTCTATTCACTACCTTCCAATAAATTGATTAGGAAGCAGCAAATGCATGGTTGGTACTATTTTTATTATTCTCTTGTAGGTCTTTTCAACAAAACTGAGCCATATCTTGAGATATTTGGTATTCCTATGCTATTGTTGATGCCATAGTTTGACATGACATCAACCTCTATGTGACATGTCACATTGCTTACATGGCATAAAGTTTTTTGATTTTTAGTCTGCTCATCATCTGCTATTATTGTCAATGCATATCAATATCATATAGTACTTCCTCCATTTTCTTGAATTAGTTAGACCGTAAAATCTAGGTAAAATGTTACCTGCAGTCTGCAGATGTTAAAACATGGTGCCACCAATAATAGCTATGTTACTGCGTACATTAGTTATGTACTTGTATGCTGCTGCTTTTTTAGTTCAAAAAGCGTCAACAAAATGCAAAAATGAAAATCGATTTAAGAAACTACTTATGTTCATTTCAATGTAAATTTATTTTGTTACTCAACCATTTTTGCAGAAAAAGGACGGAGCTCGTGTCTTCAAAGATTCCCCTCTCAAGCACATCGACCTTCACTGTGCTATTTTTTCGGGGCGCACAGTGGTAGGGAACCACTCTGCTGTTGCAGGCGCAGCACCAGCACCTCCTCAGCAGCCAACTCCAAGGCCCAACATCAATATCTCACAGCTGCTAGCTCAACAACAAAACATTGCGACTCCAGGAGTTTCAAGTGCAGGAAAAGGCAAGAGGCTAGCAGATGAAGCTGGCACTTCGAGGGGATCGGCTTCAAAGAAGAGTCGAAGTGACTCAGCCGGTGATGCCCTGCACCGGCTAGCTGATTTGCGAGTGGAGTTGATGGAGAGCCGTTCCCGGAAGGTGGAAGAGGACAGGGCTAGAAGTGCAGCAGCTTGCATCCAGTTGGTGGTAGCTGATGGACATAACCCAGGGAGTGATTTATTCTTTATGGCACTGGATGTATTTGAGCGTGCTTATTGGCGTCAATGGTTCATTGATTACTGCCCTACACCCGAGTCACGGTCCCATTACATAGTACAGACATGGCAAAAGCAATTTGGCGGAAAAGGAGCTGGTGGCCAAGGAGGTGGACAGCCTGGATACGAAGGAGGAACTGGGCAGCAGTGTTATGGTGTAGGAGCACCCCCGCCAACTGGCCAGCAGGGTTATGGTGGAGGAGTACCCCCGCCAACTTGTTCAGGAGGTCATACAGGGTTTGGAGGTTGGTAGGGGGGTGGCCCTGGTGGAGGTGGGGGTCCTGGTAGCGTAGATGGTAATGGGTTCTATTGAGTTGCTCTTGCTTGGTCAGTTGCTTGGAGCTCACTGAGAGGAGGAGATTCATATGAGAGGCATAAAAAATAATGCTCACCATACTGTTTGCAGTAGGATTTTAGCATCTGCTTAACTGTTTTTTTCTTGTATGATTTGTACCCTCTTGTTGTATGATTTTAGCATCTTGTTGTATGATTTTTAGCATCTGCTTTACTCATTTCTAATGCTTGTAGTCTGAACTGGTACTTGTGGTATGTCACTGTGAAATTTTTTATGCAGTTAATTTTTTTATTGAACACCATGCGTGCATTTTTTTACAAATAATGTTGTAATGGTTAATGTAAGCTAAATATTTTTCTTGTTTCGAAGGAATCACACAATGAGCGACGGTTCATCGTGGAGTTCGTATGGTACTGAAGGGCAATACACGAGCGATAAGGATGACACTATTATTGCAATGATGCAAGAGATTTTAGCTGCTCCTCCAAGAGCTCCTCATCGTGTCCCAACCCAATTTGGAATAACTTGGATGCTAGAGACAATGGCGAATTCTGCACAGTGCCGTGCGATTTTCCGTTTAACGGAATATCAGATATACACTCTACATGTAATTTTGGAAAATGCCCCTTACAACCTGCATGGGAGTAATGATGTAAGTTCTTTGGAGGCACTAGGAATCTTCTTGTTCACAATGGCAGGAAATAATTCTGCAAGGGAGTCGAACAATCGTTGGGTCCGGTCGAACTCGACGGTGTCTATCTATTTTCGAAGGGTTCTTAGCCGAATGGTTATGTTAGGGTCGAAAATACTCAAGCCAATTGATCCGAATTTTACGGACATCCCTCGTCGCCTACTACAAGATAGTCGTTTTGGACCATTCCAGTTTGCTGTAGGTGCTGTTGACGGCACACACATTCCGGTCACTGTTGGTGTGGATAGTGCCATAGAACACATGAATCGCCATGACGAGACAACAAAAAATGTCCTAACAATTGTTGGATTCGATGGTAGAGTTATATTTGCCGATGCCGGATGGCCAGGATCAGTGCATGACAATCGAGTCCTAAACGAAGCTATTGACTCTTATCCAGAGGAGTTTCCAAGACTACCTTTTCGTAAGTACTACATTTGTACACCATATAGCACTTCATTAATTGTGCACTGATAGTTTTCATGTATAACTTCCTTATTATTTTGTAGGAAAATATCTTCTTGTTGACTCCGGATATCCGAGTAGGATGGGCTTCCTGGCACCGTACCCACGTGTACGGTACCACAAGGATCAATTCAAGGGGCCACACGCTCCACCGCCAGAAGGAAGGGAAGAGAAGTTCAACTACATACATGCCAAGCTACGTAATATAATTGAGAGGCAATTTGGAATTGTGAAAAAACAGTGGAAAATCTTAAAAGGCATACCGTACAACCCATACAAGAATGTCCAGAGCGACATAATATTGGCAGCGTTTTGTTTGCACAACTTCCGAATCGACAGCAAGCAAAATGACTTCCAGGCCAATAACCCTCTGTATAATGGTAATCCTATAGCACCAATGGCACCCCCCTTCTCCAATATGTATTACGCCGGCAATAGCGCACAAGCGATGAACGCATACCGTGATGCCATTGCCAATTCGGTGGAGAACCTGTAGAAGTACATGAACTATCTCCTGTACAGTGTACGAGCTTTTTATTAGATGTACGATTTAATAAGAAATCCATTTCGTGATGGATATATGTATTATGTACTGCATTCAAGTCTTTGGACTGTGCCAACTCGTATTCAATAATTTTTTTCATTACTTTGCTCAAATTGCTACTACCTCCGTTTTTTAATAGATAACGCCGTTGACTTTTTCTCACATGTTTAACCATTCATCTTATTCAAAAATTTTATGCAAATGTATAAGATATAAATCACACTTAAAGTATTATGAGTGATATAACAACTCATCACAAAATAAATTATAATTATGTAAATTTTTTGAATAAGACGAATGGTCAAACATGTGAGAAAAAGTCAACGGCGTCATCTATTAAAAAACGGAGGGAGTATATTTTATTTTTCCAACAATTTTTTCCCATATGTCAAATTGCAATATTTTTTTTTCTGCATTTGTCGTCACTACTTTTAATAGAACGCTGTAACTACTATTTGACACAGCAAAAATATCTATCATCTTGCAAGTAGAAAAAAAAAGACGCTACAGCTACCTAAGCCCAAATGAATGGCATCTGTGCAGTAGCAAACGGCGCCGTCTACTGCTGTCTAACACCTGTCACTGGACAGTCTAGACTGCATTTCACGATGAATAAATTATTCGGTGGACTACAGTGCTGCTTTCACCCAATCCCCTCAATCTCACGCTATCGAACGCGGCCTTAGTGATGTGCCGGTTCGTTGATATCGTTCTATATTGCTAATTCTCAAAGGATTTGGTAATCACGTGCGGGCCAGTTCTGAAGGCCCATGTTCCGAAGTAATTGAACAAAATAGAAATTTAGAATCAATCAGAAGTACCAAGGTAATTCACACGCCGTAGATCAATTACACTCTCCTATGTAAAATATTAACATTTCTCAGATTTAAAATTGGTATTACAATATATCCAATTCTAAGCATTGGTTTCCAACATGCACGAAAATCCAAAGCAATTTTTTTACGACTGAAGTGACTAAAACAAAATATTTTCTCTTTATCTTAGATTTTTTTTCTATGGAACATATTGAAATGCTTATATATATGTTAGAACGTAGAATTTTTTTAATTTTCTAATTTACAAAATTACGTAGTGATCTGTTCTTTTTTTAAAAAAAAGGAAACCATACAACTCCTGAAACAAGATCATATTATAGTTGAGTTGTCACGCGGTGCACTTATATATGATAGTTAAAAGTTCATGGTCGGTAATATTATAAAAGTTCATGCGGCCCTTATATATCTTAAAGTTGGACTGAGATATAATCTTGTAAATTATTATAAATTGCTTGTCTACATCCCAACCCAGGCTTAATGTATCACAACAGATCCAAAGGTGTATATTGATTTGCTATGATGAACTGCCTACGTGGATATCCATGCTGACCATAGTTTTGCTACTTTTCAGCTCTCTCTTAGACACTGTAGCAACAAATTTCCTCCAACCCTAACAGTGGACACCCAGTTTTTAGAGCACTTCTGGCCACCTTAGTCCCCTTCAGAATACCTCGTCCTAGAGCCGCCGTGCTAATATAAAGGAGGAGAATTGAGAAGAGATAGATGAATAGCTATGTGCACTATAGCTATACAAGTTTGTTCCAGCTACCGTGGACAACCAAAGGTGTTATGGATATATTGTAACATCAAATCTAGATTACGGATATAGATGAGAGCAATTTAAAGACTGCGGACCAAAGTGATATTACGGTCTAACTTTATGGACCCACCGCAAATTCTACTCTATTTCATAATTTTCCTAGATAACTTTTGCGTATTTGAATAAGCGATTACCTTATCAGAGACACTCGACATATATCGATCATCACATTTCACCATCGTCTCTGCGTTCGTCTAATATATCTGCCTAGCTTTGGTAGGCTGCTAGCCTTACGCTTCCCTGCAATGCAACGGCGCTCACGGTTTCATGGAAGTTGAGGAGGATGTACAGACAGCTATGATGCAAATCTTGCCTTGTTTTATGAGCATTGCCTAATTTGGTCCCTAATTGGTTCAATACACTACAGTAGTTCTTATCTTGTACTTTGCTTCCTGTAGCTCTCTCGTCCTTAATAATTATCTCCCTTGAAGTATGCATATAGTAATTGCCCAAATCTAATCAAGATAATGCATGCCTGTGATTGATCTGTTACTTCTAACCTTCCAGATGAAACCTTTCTTAATGCCTATACAGTCCCAAGTACCAACTTATAATGCAACTTCGTCAATCGGGCTGGCCTCGTTGGTAGTTTGATATAGTATATCTATAGAGATTAATTACGATGCAGCTTGGGATCGTATATATCCACTTGGGCATGAATCCCTCGAGTATTCAATTGGGAGCTTTTCCCAAAGGTTACTCTGTGTGCACAAGTGACATGTGCATTAGCAAGCACTCCGTCTCCTCAAATAACTTAGGACATTTGCGAATGATTTGGGGCCTGTTCAGGTTGTAACCAAAATAAACCTTACCAAATTTTAGCAGGATAGCAATATTGCTAAAATTTTGACAGGATTTCTAATGTATTTAGCAAATTTGACAACAAACTAAACGTTCGATATTTTTTTGGCAACTTTGCAAAAAAAAAAAGATATGGTTGAAAATGACATCAAAGTGAAACCCTTGACTATATTACCCTGTTTTATGAAATTACATGTACTGACCAGTACTCGGTTAACTTCCGATTTGAAAAAGAAAAGGAAAAGAGAAGTTAATCGGTCGGCAAAGAGGCAGTGGAAGATCCAAATAAAGTAGGGCATGGACAATTAATGGAGGTCCTCATGAAGAAAAGTTGTGCCGCATGGGACGAGCCCACCCTCTAGGACACGAGGGTATAATTAATTGTACCCCCAATTTCTTCGCTGATAATATGTAAATTAAGTAGATATTGTATGTACATATACCGTTGGTTGGATCAAAACAAACATTCTTAGATCTAGAAGAATCATCATTTTCAAGAGTATTATATTTTTGTATACAAATAACTTTCATTTGCACTAGTAACGAAAATTATCATCTCATTTTTTGCTATTAGGAAACATTTTGTTTTTCTATTGAACAATGGTCAGTAACTTATTTTCACTAGAACCGATATCCGCCACCTCTTCAAACCACATTTTAGTGTTTTTTTTTCGTTTTAGCCCCTAGACACTATTTTTCAACCCATGTAATACTCTCTATTAGATAATTATTGAAACTTCATATAATTTAGACATTGTGATAAAAAAGACCTGCATATATATCCATAATCCCTCGCTGTTTTGATCCCCACTCTCCCCGCCACCACTCTCTTCCTTTTTGACAATTTAGCCCTTTTCAAAAACTTATTTAACTAGAAATGATCCGTGACCTCAACGCCAGCAGCCTCGGCCCTGAGGTCCTACAGCTCAATGCTAGGCATGTTGGTCCTGAATCCCCTGTCCACATATAGCTTGAGCCCATCGCCTCGCTGATGTGGTAGGTTCGTGAAGTGAGGCCCCCAAGCCTAAATGGCGCTACTCAGCTCAACCATAGCGCCAGCCGCATTAGCGCTAAGGTTTAGGATTTTGCCACGTTACCGATCTGCCTAACACAACTCTTTTGTTGGGCAGCCACGTAGTGCTGCACTAGTCAACCTCAACATCACATGGTTACATGCCGACCCACATTCCGTAATTCACAACGCATCCTGTGCCACGTTTAACAAATTAACCACGGTTTCAATCAAAATACTCAATACATGGGCAAACATTAGGGAAATTAGGGTTTTCAGAGGGACTTCACCGTGCAAATCAATCTCTAACGCACTACCCATAAATTCCCCTTCGATTTGGGGTGGATTTGCGTACATTTGGGAAAGAGAGAAGAGGGTGGCTCCGTCGTACAAATCCTAGGCAGAGGAGAGGAGAGGAGAGGAAGAAGGCGGCTGGGTGTGGCCGCGCATGGGGTTAATTCCATTACCTTAGCGCCAACATGCTTGGTGCTGAGGTTGGGCACCTTAGCGTCGTGGTGGTCGGCACTATGATCCTGGCCCGTCGGCGAGCGGATCTTCTTGGGCACCATATTGGCGGGGGTTCGGTGCCAATGGGCCTGGCGCTAAGGTCACTAAGCATTTTTGGTTGAAGTTTTAGCAAGGTCTAGTTTTGAAATAAGTTTTTGAAAAGATAATTTGTCAAAAAAATGGCACTCTCTCACTCCCCGCAAACCCCTTACCGCTCCTCTTCCAGTACCATCTTCTCCCCGTCCCACCAACGAACGCCGGAACTAGCTGTCTCTCTCTCTCACTCGAGGAGGCCACAAATTGTGATGATTGGGATGATGGTTGTGGAGGCAATGAAGGTGAGCTCTCCTTCACCCGCCATCCTATCAACCTCATGGCGTGGAGGTGCTCATCAACGGCAGATATGCTCTAGACGTTGCTGGGTAGGCCCTTCTCTCCCGTCCTCAAGTGTTTCTGTTCTTTCCACTCTCCCCCGGACCATTTGCAGGAGGACGCTACTCGTGCAACGCGGCTCGTAGCTTCAATAGGGCATGCTGCCTAAGGAGTAAAAGTTTTGGCCGAGTTGGCGATGATATTCAAACTTGACGGGATGAGCCCACCCACCAAGTCTCGCATTAATCGTGCTCTGACATTCGTTGTGGCCATACAGAGATCTGCACACAGAATTGGAGAAGTCTCCGTTTTCTATTAATGATCAGTTACGATTTAGTTTATTTCTTTCTACTGGTTTATTGAAGTTATTTATTTAAGACTGATTTTATATTACTTATGATTTTCTTGAGCAGTCGGTGTAGTTGAGTGAGTTCACTTGATACAAAAGGTATTGCAGGCGATCATCCTCTATGTGCACCATCACCTACAAAGAGAGAATCGCACTACAAAATCCCCTCCGGAAGTTTCTTAGAATCGATTATCTTATGGCATTAGCAGTGCGTTGCTCGTTTTTGCCGTTTCTCACATGCCACATAGACCAAGAACGTGTTAAGCTATATGTTCCACAGTGCAAGTTGCTTGTAATGGGTCCCACAGGTACCATCTTTTTTATTTTTAACTCTCCCTCTCTCCTCGCCCTTTTTTTATTCCTCACCAGAGGAAGTCCCCTCTTTCTCCTCTCTTTTCATCCCCCACCAGAGGAACCGAGGCTGATGGCGAGACGGAGATGAGCAGTGATGGAGCAGTCGGGCAGCGCGAGGCGCAAGCAGCGGGACGGCCCGAACGGCGCTGGGCAGCCCTAGCGGCGACCTAGATAACACGGATCAAGGGCGGTGCAAGTGCCAGGACAGCCCGAGCGGCACCAGGCAGCCCTAAAGGCGACGACGCGGTGGCGGATCGAGGGCGGCGCGAGGCGCGAGCGGTGATAACAACGTCGGGCGGCCCTAGCAGCGACGGCGCCGTCGGCAGATTGAGCTCGCCAGCTCCGAATCGACGCCGGATGTCCTCTTCTCTTCTCCTCCGCCGCACCTCCCCTCCTTCTCCTCCTCCTCCTCCTCTAGCACGGGAGCGATGGACGGTGGGGGCATCTGGACGGTCACGCGGTGATGACGCCGTTCGACGAGCTCCCATCCTTGTCACTGGAGTACTACGCGCTCACCGCCGATGCCTGCGCGAAGCCACTCGCGCGAGGCTCCGCCCTCCATGACACTTTCTCCCAGCTTCTCCCTACTTTTTTCATTCGAAGAACGAGTATCCAAGTTTGGCTCCGAGTACCTGTTTTGGCACCGAGTATTGCCGATGTGGCACCGAATATTGGGTTCTTGGCTATGAGGCTGAACGTCACCTCGATTGGTTGGAGGGAGTTTTTAGGAGGGATTGGGAGTTTAGAGGGATGAGGCTATTAACTGTTTTGTTTGGTTGGGTTACATGGAAATTTTGGTGGGATGAGGATGGGGAATTGAGGGAGGAACTCCCTCCTTTTCAATACTCGGTAGGGGGTGGTAATTGGGAGGAAATTCCTCCTTTACTCTGCGTAAACAAATCTCAGCCATCTATTTTCATTAATGACCTAATCTCTAACTAAGGGCCTGTTTGGCATAACTCCAGCTCCAACTCCACCTCTCCTGGAGCTAGAGCTCAGCTAAACAGTTTCAGCTCCACCAAAACTAGAAGTGGAGTTGGGTGGAGCTCTCTCACAAAATGTAGGCAGCTCCACAACTCCACTCCAGACTCAACTCTTGGAGTTATATTTAGGAGTTGGAGCTGTACCAAACAAGCCCTAAACTCCCTATCAATTTCCACCACCTCTTCCAAACAAGATACTGGGATTAAAAATCAAATTCCCATCTTAACCTCACCATCAATTTCCTCGTGTAAACTCCCAATCCCCTTTCCTCGAGTTGCTAAACAAGCTGGGGGTTTCGAGGGAGAGAATGGTGAGTGAAAAGATCGTCATCCTTTCACCAGCTGGGAGTGGGAAAAAAAGGAAAGCGAGGGAAAAAAAAATATGGTGCCGCACAACGACTGCGGCGTTTTCTTGTTTTCTTTTATACTCAATCGTGAATCCAAAACAAACGTACAAAAGACTCCTGATGCCACGGCGGCAAATAACACAACATCCCACGTCTGAAACTCTGAATAGTCTGTGGCTATACAAAAACTGACTCCACATGTACATGTACGATGACTACAGCCACAAGCAAATTAACACAACTGCAACCCCTCTATGTACGTGATAACTTCCACATGCCCAAACTAATTAAAAGGAAAGAAAAAAAAATCCAATGTAAAACACAATATATCTGGTGTGACTTGCTTACTTTCAACTTATACATTTCGACTGATCCTGTTCAGTTCAATTGCTTGGCGCACTTGAGGAGGTAATTTCGGGTTTGGCCAGTTTAGGCAACGGCCCATCACTCTCCAGGAAATCCATTGCTTTCTCCATCGTAGGTCGCATCTCAATATTAGGCTGACAACACCACAGCCCCAAGACGATCACACGCTCCATCTGCCTCTTATCGAACGCACCTTGTAACCTATCGTCAGCAGCCTGCATCAGAGTTTTGTCGATGTACCTTTCCCAGACTTGTGCATAGCTATTCTCGTCTTTCTTGCAAGCAATCTCTAGCAGAACGAGCCCGAAGCTGAAGACATCTGAGCTACGGTTGAACTTTCCCGTCTTCCTGCACTCTGGATCCAAGTAATTTTCCGTTCCTACAACCATTGACGATTGTATTGTTCCATTGTCGGCAGTTCTCGACAGCCCGAAATCTGCTAATCTAGCATTGAAATTTTTGTCCAAGAGTATGTTGCTCGGTTTGATATCCCTGTGAAGAATGTATGGATGTCTATCATGGTGAAGGTAAACAAGAGCGCTGATAATGCCCTTCACTATTTTATACCTGAAAAGACAACATTTGCATGCATAATCATTTTCTTGTTCCGAGGAACGTACATAATGATTGTCAACATTACTAGCTCGTTTTTTCAAACTTCCATATTCAAAATAGTTACTTCCAGGAAACAACATGTTTTAGGGTCTATGTGGCAGAAAACCCATATATAGGTATTATTGAAATGTCATTTAATTTAAACATATCTAAAATAATTTTTTTAAAGCAGTGAAAAGTTAAACTATCAACCTTAGTCAAGAAATCAGTAATTACAATTTTCATATACAATCTATATTTTATTTTTAGAAAAATTATGCTCAACATGGACATGGTGGAGTTTTGTAAAACATTATTAGACAATAATTTTTGGGGTTATGTGTGCGGTAGTAATATAATAATACCTAGCTAGGTTCTTAAAATTTGAATATAAATTATATTGCTCAGCTCGCAGCATGTACCTTATTCTCCATGACAGCAGGGCCTCCTTCTCATACAGGTGCATATGTAGGTTGCCGTTATCCACAAATTCATATACCAGGAAAAGGTCGGTGTTCTTCTGCCTACGCCAGCACATGACGAAATCAATGATCGAGCTGCCCTTCATTCCCCAACCAAGAAGTTCAACAAGATTCTTCTGCTTTGCTCTACTGATGGTCTGGACTTCGTCAAAAAAGTCCTTGTTTCCTGCTCTGGATTCCCTCAAGATCTTCTTAACAGCCACTTCACGGCCCAATTGTGTCAAGAAACCTTTGTGTACTTCACCGAACGTACCTGCTCCAATCCTATTATCCATTGAAAAATGGTTTGTTGCAGCAGCCAAGCGGTGGTAGTTGAACCGACAAGCCCCACGAGTTCCCTTGTCAAATTCACGGTTTGTTTTTCTCCACTTCCACCATGAGAGAATAGACCACACCAGGAGCACCAATATGAGACCTCCTCCAATTGAGACCCCTACGGCAATGGCTTTCTTGTGATCTGCATCGATGTTACGGCAGATCGGTGTCAATTGCTGCATTACAAATTCATTCAAAAAAAATACAAACTACTAAGGTGTCAATTGCTGCGTCAGAAGTACCTCCAACGAGTACAATGCATTAATCCAACAATCAATTCAAGAGATGTAGTAACTGCATATATACCTTTTTGTACCGGGGCAGCAATAGTTGAGTTGAAAGACCATGAGTGTATTTGATGGAGCTCGAAGGCTGCCCCGGTGGCTGCAGAAAATCCCACTGCCACCTCCGACGGGAGCAAGGTCGTAGGATCTGGGAGTTTCGCACTGACGTTAACAGGGGCATAGTTAGAATAATTACCGGTATACTGCAGAGAGGCGACCAGCATCGAGGTCTTGCTGTCAAAGGTGATGGACGCCTTCATCATGCTCTCATTCGGGCTGAAGCTGGATACACTTGTTGTGTTAGTCGAAAAAGTGACTGTGTTGATGTTGATGCCCATATGGTCACCAGTCTGCTTAGGCTGCTCCCAGGTGTTGTTGTACGTGTCAAACTCGACGGATACGAACTGGTCCGGGCCAAAGCTACTATAGTTGTTGTTGGTGATGAGACCAAGGCTGCCGCCGCCTGAATCTGGAGGCATTCTTGATGGGTAACGTGCAAGGAAGAAAGCCATACCATCTCCCTTCTCCTTGTCGTTGTTAAATCTTGGTACAATAATCTTGAAGGTGAACTGTGTGGAGAAGCTGGCAACCTCCTTGGTGGTTTGGTCGTAGAAGGGCACCGGGTGATTGTACGACATCCGCCCAGCCGTGCACTGAGAGATGTCCAGCCCATATGCGTTGCAGGTGAGGTCGACGAAGCTGCCGTGCACAGTCGCGTTGCCCTCAAATCTCAAGTCATCCGGCTTGTATGTGGACATGTTGGAGAAGTCGAAGTTGAAGGAGAAGGGTGGTGTTGGAACTGTGGCTGCAGCACTACTAAGATGAGGAGCATCAAGCAGCAGGCAGGCGAGGAGGAGAAGAACCTGCAGCTGCAGGCAGGCCATCTTAGGTTGGACTGCACGAATTGTGCAATTCGATCCTAACGACACAAGCTAGCTTGCTAGTATGAAGAGCTCCGATCGATACGCCGAGTAATCAACACTATAAATATGCGCTACAGCCTGTTTAGGTTTTGGAATTAATCATTTAGAGCCAATGGAAGTTTATATTGTTTCTCCAGGCAACGTACGTGCAGTTTCTATGGGTAGTTGAGATCGATCTAACTCCCACAATTTTTTTTATGTAAAATTTGCTAGTGAACACTTAATAATGTGATATTTACTAGAAGACACAATGAAAACCGGTTTTTGCTTATGGGCACTATAATTGTGTGGATATTTGCTACAAGACACAGTGGGTACTAAAATAATGTATCCAACTAGCTGAGGAACAGTGGAGACAGCTGAAAAGTCAATTTTGCCCTCTTCGCTCTCCTCTGCCTCATCTTCTTCTTCCTTCCCTTTTCTCCGACCAAGCCACTCCACTTCTTGATCTACATCCACCGATCCACAGGCTAAGGTGGTCGTCCATCCACACTCGAGCTTGGTCTACCACACAAGCTCGATCCGCCGATTGCACGCATCCACCCGTGCTCGAGCTCCACACCAACAAGAGCTCATTTAAACACCATTTGGAGCTTGCCTCCACCTTCTAATAGGAAAAGACCAACGAGATCCAACCGTGATTAATTCAGTATTAGTTCTGGCACTCCGCTCAATCAGCCATTGTTCTTCTCTTTATCGAGGCAAGATATTGACAAAGTTCAAGCATGGAAGTTTGGGGCATGAGTAAATTTGTTATTGGTTTTAAGCATGAGTAAAATTTTCACTCCCGACTTTAGGCATGAGTAAATTTTTTACTCTGATTATAGATGTGAGTAAATCTTTGGTTTTAAGCATGACTAAAATTTTCACTCCCGACTTTAAGCGTGAGTAAATTTTTACTCCTGGATACTGGTGTGAGTAAATTTTTTTACTTGGTGAGAAGAGTGGGACGATACAAAGAGAAAGGAAGTTGAGTCCAAGAACCAAAACATAAAAAGACAATGAGAGGCGGGCGGTTTTTTTGCAAAATGTGCGATAGGGATGAGGTGCTCGATCTGGACCATCCATCTTCAATCCAACGGTACACAAAGGAGGTTGCACGATTGCACTGAGAGGCTGTTTGGTTCACTCCCTCACTTTGCCAAACTTTACCACACTTTCTAGGATACTTGTTTGTTTCACTTCCAAAGTTGTGGCATGCCAAAGTTTTTCAATTCAAAGGCTCACATGTCATACACCCATCTTATAGCCAAAAGTTGCCTAAGGTGTAGCCATCAATTTATAAGCCACAGATTTGGCTATGTTTGGCATGGAGGTTTGGCAATGTTTGAGAGTGAACCAAACAACCCCTTAGGTTTGGCAATGTTTGAGAGTGAACCAAACAATGTTTGAGATATGCACAGCTTGGAAGCTACAACTGAAAGAACAACACAGGACAAGATCTAAACTTAGTGGTAATGTAGTTTATGCATGTGCTTTACATTTAATCAGCGTCTATGCACGTGCTTTACATTTCATTAGCTCAACAGGCTTATAGCCCACGTTCGAAGCTAACCTGATCTATCTTTTTAATCAGTTGATTCTATAAAAAATGACAAATTAGGTGAACCTATTTACATACTATTAGCGACCATGGTATAAACCTGATGGTTATATTTTAATTAATGTACATGTGCGATACCAGGCAAGTAATGGTATGAACATGGAGTACAATATTCCAATGGCAATTAGGAGTGGCAGCGGGGTGGGGCGGGGCCAGGTTGGGCAGGAACGCCCCCACATTTCTCCCCGCTCCCGGCCTCACATTGGCCACCGGGTGAATAACCTGAGCCACCCCCGCCCCTGTAGAGGACCCGACAGTTGAGTGGGCCCCGCAGCTCCGATGAGGGGAAGGGACGAAGGGTGGTTGCGGCGTCATGCTTTGATAGGCAGGGCAAGCCGACGACTCGAAGGAGAAGGAGAGACGGAGGGTGGTTGCAGCATCGCGCGCTAATAGCCTGGGGCCCCGCTGGGTCACCCGAGGGTGAATATAACCTCCCCCACCGCCGCTCACCCATGGGTGTGAAACCTGACTTGGCCTCTGCCCCCATTAGGCTGGGGTCCTAGCCCCAGCGGGGAAATTGGCACCCTATGGGCAATTAGTTAATTTTTCTTATCTTTTGAATTAGTTTGTGGAATGCTTTCTTTATCACACAATGTTCTAAAATCACCATTTTATGTTAAATGGAATTATAGGAAATTTTCAACCAATAATATACTTACTCTGAATTTAACTAATAAAATTTATGCTCAAGTCATGTTTATAGTCATGTCTGTGTGCGCGGATGCATGCTGCGTTCCCTTCTAGTTACGGTAAGATCAGATCAGTCTTCGATACAATATATAGACAAGTAAGCACAGGGTTCCGAACTATAATTATTAGCTATTGGACTAGTCTCAAATAGAGTAAACAATACAGTAATGGGTTGGGGGAGAAACGGAGAATGGAAGCAAAGTACGGTCACATGGCGCTAACCATGTGACACATGGGAATGGGAGACCCGTACTTTTAGTTCGTGTAAACTTTTACTTGTCATTTCTGTTATGAAAAAAAGATGTACAACAGAGATACGAAGTTTTATGTGAAAAACCCTTGCAGAAAAAAACCACGGGCGCCGACCGGCAATGATCACTGCAGAGGAGTTGATTACAAACGTAGGATAGACATGGAGTTCTCCTAGAAAATCAATCCGAATATATTATGGGCCCAAAATTCGGATCACATATTTAACAATTTCTTTATCTTTTTATAGCTTGTAGCTTGTTGTTGGGTCGATAGACTTTACTCTCCGTACCAAAATATAGCAACCTTGTACTATATGTAACACATACTAGTATAACGAATCTAGACAGGATCTTCAGAACCAAACCCGGTACTAACAATGTTTCCCCACTAGTTCAAAAATGATTTTCCTGGACAAGCAATCTAATAGGTTGCAGATGGGCCATAAGTGTCCGCGTCTATAAAAATCAGCCCTCATTTTCGAATACGGCTCCATAAGAGACCCGTACGAAAAAAATCGATGTTTCCAAATGGCTCACTTAAAACATCCGCACGCAAAAATAAGGGTATTTTCGCAAGCGGGTCTCTTAACTCACCCACACGTATGTGAAATATTCGTCCACCCCATTTTTTATTCTACCCTCCCCCTATCTTTGTCTCTCCCACCTCACACTTCATCTCCTGGCTTCACTCCTCTCCTCTCTCTCCCGGCCACACTCCTCTCCTCTCCTCCCTCCTGGCGGCGACAACGGCGGCGGCGGTTGTCGTAGGCGGCAGCGACGGAAGGGGTGGGCGACGCCTAGCGCCGGCCTACTGCACGCTCTCCGGTGCACGGCGAGCCCCTCCAGCGGTGGAGGCGCGGGATCTGGTGGGCGGCGGCCGTCCCCGCACGGATCCGGCAGCCGGCCGCCTTCCCCCACGGCCTCCCCCTCGACGGCAGCATGCGCGGGTACTCCCCTCCCTGTGCCTTCTATCTCCCCTCCCCTCCCCTTCCTTCCCTCCCTGCGTGGCCGGAGGGGGAGTACCGGCAGAGCGCGGACGAGGTGGCACGACCACTCCCCTCCCTCTCCTCTTGCTTCCCTCCTAGATCCGATGGAGGGGATGGGCATCGACAGTGGTGTGGCCAGAGGGGAGGCCGGCGTCGGCGGCGATGGGGAGGCACGGGGGCGGTGGATCCGGCGATGCCCTCCACGCGCGCCTCCGTTGACGCCCTCCACCTGCGCCGCCGTCGACACCCTCCGCCGGAAGGAAGGAAGGAAGGAAGGAAGCGGAGGGGAGGGAGCTAGAGGGAAATGCGAGAGAGAGTTGAGGGAATGAGTGGTGGGGAGAGGATAAGATGGAAGAGGAGAACATAAGATAGGACTTAGTTTTTTTTTGTAGGCATGAGTTTTTGTAGGCGGACCACATAATATTCCTCCTGCAAAAATCATATTTTTTTCAGGTGGACCACTTAAGAGGTCCGCCTGCGAAATAACGGTATTTTCGCAGGCAGACCTCTTAAGTGGTCCGCCTAGAAAAATTGATTTTCGTAGGAGGATGATGAAAATCCACCTCGGTTTACATTTTCATAAGCGGATATTGTTAGATTTAATTGGGTAATTGATCCATTTAAATCAATTAAATCAAATTAATTTTAAGGCTCATTATGCTAGGAATTCATGTGTATTCATTCTCTTATGGGATATCAATGGGATGAAGAGTTTTGAGAATTAATCCATTTGATAAGTGAATTGGTAACTTATATCAATTACTCCTAATTGATGGATGGTAAATGGTTGTGTGGTGAAGGATGGTTCATGGCTAATTGTTAGTTGATGACAATTAGCTGCTCTATTCCTCTTCCTATTTCGTTGGTAACCTACATCAATTACTCCTAATTGATGGTTGGTTGATAATTGTGTAGTAGAGGATGGTTGATGGGTAATTGATGAGAATTAGTTACTCTATTCCTCTTCCTATTCTATTACTCTTCATCTTTCATTCCTCCTATAAAATGAGAATGGATTTGATCTCTCTAAGGAGAAGTGAGACACACTTTCATCCATTTCCAAGGCTATTGCTGCTACGATAATCCCATCCCGACGAGTGTGTGCACACGCTTTGGGAGAATAGGCCTTCGAAACCACGCACTGCTACGATGTTTGCACGGACGGGTGGGCGATCAGGTTTTTGGAGAGCGCAAGGCGCAACTACTCACTGTTCATCAATATCTACTTCGTCTTCACTAACATGTCGAACACTGGAGGTAACGGCAAGACAAGGAGAAGGAGGCTCCGGTCAACACCAACAGAGGCAATACTATCTCAAACTCCAGCGGAGAACCATTCTTGGGGTATAACCTTTTTACATTATTTCAATTAGAAGTTTTATGGTTAATATTCATCGCAATGTCAACATTGTGTTACTATGTGATTGTTGATGCTTATTCTACATTAAGCATGCTCATGTTGATTACATGCTACTATCACTGGATTAAATCCCATTGTAAAAAATATGTTATTATCTTGTTATTTGGATTAAAATATGCCAAATTATGATCAAATTTCTAACAGATATTTGGCTCCGAGGGTCATATCCACCTGCGAAAAAAGAAACCCAACGTCCGCAAAAATACTTTTTTTAAGTAGTGTTTGCTTCCTAATTTCTATAAAAATCCTGTAAAATAGTGTCTATGTTTTAAAAGATTCCCTAACCACAATCCCTCCGATCTAATAATTCATCCACTATTCAGAGAGTCATCATTCTCTTCGGATTCACCCGTATTGAAAAAGAACATCAGGCCGGTTAGGTGCATGATGCAGCGCACTATCTTCTTAATACGACGATATACATATTCATTGACGGGAGTAATAAGGACGTTACTTTATAGGTCAAGTCAAGGAAAGCATGAACGTTATCGAATCCTGATTTGCTTCTGACTCATGTGTCGTCACCGAGCCGACGTCTGCAAACCGCGTATTCAGATGGAATGCACTCGTCTTCCAGAATCTGTTCTTCAGGAATCTCAGTATTTAAGTTCAGAACACATGGAGATGTTGTGCTTGAAGCAGAACAAATATTCAGAACTAGCTAGTTCAATCTTGCACTTATCTCTGACTTCCTTCTCATTTTTAAATATTCAGAACAAATCTGGAGGCCAGCTGGGCCGGCCCTGGTTCGGCCGAACCAGGACCCTGGTGACGCCGACTCCGGCTGGCCTGACATTAACAAATATTTAGCTATCACATAGAGTGTCTAGTACATGTTACATAGGCCACCGTCCATGTTTAGCAATATAAGTAAACTGCATATGGCAAGATTAGACAAGATTATCCACCATCCTTCATTTCACTAATATATAACAAAACTGTATATATGTTTAGGACAAGCCTTATATTTGGATACTATTAATTATTGGATTACTTTTGCCTATTTATTTCAGTTGTGCTGTCTATATAACCATGGTAAAACAAAGAAAAAACACAAGCCATAGCTTCATACAAAGCAATCACACAAATGGGCAAGCAGATGCCGAAATGTAGCCGGGGACTTCTGCTTCTGTTGTTGGCCATTCTAGGCTGTTTTTGCATTCCTGGCCACGTGTATGGTAATCTACTATCTAATATTCAATCTCAATGGTGAATCCAAGGTTTATTTTGACTTCACAATTATTCAATTGTTCTGTGGTAATCACGATGTATTTAAGAAACATATCTTTCAGAGTACAATTTGTGTTTCCAATTTTCTTATGGACATCCATCTTCACATATCCATGTATTGCATACGGTTTTTCTTTATCTTTCATGCTTTCCTAGTAAAATATTTTTTATTTTTTAGGTACAAATCTGGATTACACCTGGAGTGCATCCCTGAATGAAGGACGCAACAATGTCAATATAAATGGTTTGGTGCCCGTACCATGCAACATTTTCTCCCAATCGAAGGTCTGCTGTAGAAATGTATGCTACCCTAGCTTGCAAGCCTGTGAGGCAAATTGCAAGCCAATTGTCTAATCAGCTTATCAAGCTTGTAACAGTAAAAAAATGATAATAATATTGTCCGTTGTTCTCTAATCAAGAGAATGATCAGTCTCCTCACAGATGAACATGGATTGTCCTTTTGTTTCGGGGAAAAGTATAATTGTCTTATTGATAGACATGCATGAAGTCGTTCGCAAGCTTAAGATATCGGACAACGATCATGGAAACGCTGTTGGGAGGGGGCATGGACAACTCCTGCTGCAGCTTGGCCACGGAAGAAATTGATCCGCTTATAAATATTATACCAACGCTAGATATATGTGTGTGCTTTGTGGGTGCCAACCTATTTTGGTGTATGGTTTGCTTGTGTTTCTCGGTTGTGAGTTTTTTTTTCTCTTCCATAACATGTCTAATAATAAAACAATAACAAAAAAGCTGCATTATTAGGAACCGCTTTGTTCTACTGAATGTCTGAGCTGAGCCTGAAATTGTAACGATGTGAAAAGGGCAATGTAATGTAATGGACATCAAACGTTTTCTCATGTTCGGCAGTGTCGGGTAGGATTATTAGACGGCATCCTTAAGAGTCTCCAAGACACAAAGTCAAACTAGCTTCAATTATCAACCCAACCTTGCATTACTGAGCCAAGATGATCTATTTGGCCTTTATTTTTATCAGAAAGTGTCTTAATTAATTACATCATCCTTACAAATATGACGGTATTCTCATTGCTGGCAGCCGGTTGGAGCCACTGGAATACTGGATGCTCCATCTCTCGCTCTACCTACACTATTCAGCACGTGGACTGAACGAACCAAGCATATGTGACGCTACTCAAAAGAAAGCATTTTTGCATACAACCAAAACCTATTTTTTCACGCGATAAGACTGTCCGTCTGCCCGAAGATGTTTGTAAAAATCAATACTTTTCCTACGGTTGGTGCACCCGCACGCAAAAATTAATTTCACAAAAAAGTGAAAATCCAAAAAATCACATCCGCCGTCGCCATTGCCGAAGCCGAGCACAGCTCATCATCGTTGTCGTCAAAGCCCGACAGCTCCTCGTTGTCATCGGTGTTTCCGAGTCCCCTTCCCATGGAATTCCCCGCCGCCGAATCCACCTTTGTCGCACCTCCCAACCGCCACCGCCCTCCCCATTACCAGATCAGCTGCCACTGAGGTCCCCACCGCCGGCGTCCCTCCCAATTGCCGCCGCCCTCCCCGTTGACAGATCTACTGCCTCTGTGCTCCCTACCGCCGTATCCACCGCTGCTGAGCTACTTGCGGCTCCTACTCCCGCCCGCCGCTCCATCCCCCACCCGGCTGCTCCCGCCCGGTAGTGGTGAAGGAGGAGCCGAGGAGCCTCTTGCCGCCGCCCTTCACTGCGCCTCCACCACCTTCTCCCCGCCGCCTGATCCACCCTGGCTGGCGCTGCTGCGGCCACCGCCAAATCAATCGTATCCCTTGCAAATATACGGTAGGTTTGACGGTCGTTACGAACCAATTTCGACTGTCAATATAACTAAAATAAAGGAGAACTTACTATGCTTGCAATGCATATTTGTTCTAGAATAATATAATTCCACTTGTACTTGAAGTATATTTTGTTTGCAGAGATTAATACATAAATGGAGAAGAAACGAGGAAAACTCACTCCTAAGCAAGCTTAAAGATAAGATGTGCCCACATGTCAGGTGTAACCGTCCTGGAAACCGCCATAAGGACCCACCTGTCAGTGACCCTGCCAAATCTGGAGGCCTGCTGGGCTAGCCCTGGTTCGGCCGAACCAGAACCCTGGTCACGCCGACTCCGGCTAGCCTGACATTAACAAATATTTAGCTATCACATTGAGTGTCTAGTAGACGTTACATAGGCCACCGTCCATGTTTAGCAATATGAGTAAATTGCAGATGGTAAGATTAGATAAGATTATCCACCATACTTTTCATTTCACTAATATATAACAAAACTGTCACGACCGGAAATAACCCAACGGGCGTTCCTTACGTGCGTGTATTATTCCTTGTCCCAGGAGGCAAGTTACACCAAAAGTTGATACAATTCAGAGGCTAACAAGCGGAAGCGTAAATAGTTAATTTATTACATGGGCCGCGAAGGCCCAGCACACACAAAGACAAACGGGAAACAGCGGAAGACTAGGGCGACGACCACAGGCGCTTGACGGCAGGCCCTTCATCATCCAGGAGCTCCTCTTCTGGGTTTGGGAAAAATTGAGCAAGACTGAGTACAACCACCGTACTCAACAAGACACACCCACAAGTGCAGCATAAATGCAAAGGAGTACAATGGAGTTATAGTATAGGGGTTAGGTTTTGCAATAAGCAGCATTTAAAAGACTCTTAGTTGCTCAAAGCCAAATTTAAAACACGATCCTAGAACTATGTAATATTATTAAACAAGGCCGTGAACCCACATGAACCTGCCTTAACCCAAGGCCTACGATGATTCAGACCGAACTGGCAACCCGACCCTAGGTCCCAGCTCGTCCCAAGCCAACCCAGGCCAACCATTCCACATTTTAGTTATTAAGCAGGTTTTAAGAATTAAAAACACTAACTTGGGTACATTGCTAGGCTTGCCCATAACCGAGGGCGCGGCTATTCGAATAGGTTTTACTCTGATCAGAGGTGTACATCTTTACCCACAAGACACGTCTTCCTCACGTGCAACCACGTGCCACATACCACCACGGCATATGGAAGGAAGACATGACATAGTTTCCAACCAATCCTAGACATAGACAAGAGTACCGACCCAACCCCACCTACGGCCGGAATCTCCGGGATAGGTAGGCAGGACTGAGCCCCTAGCAGCAGGACACCGGCCCTGTGCCAGGACATCTCGACTACCGGCCGCAGATCGTGTAGCCTTCATTTGTCCTAGAGATGTCCATCGACCCCCGACTTCGTCCATCTCCATCCGTGTACTTTTGTTTATAACCAGACTGAGCCACAAACTAAGCCTTACCCACTAGACATGTGGAAGTACGGTAGTGCTTTGCAACAGAGGTCCGAAGACCGGTCCTTATATGGCCGAGGTGCTACTATCAAAACCATGCACCCCAAGCCCAGCCTAAAACCATTTTGAGAGTTTTGAAAAGAGGGAGAGGTGTGCATCCAATTCCACAATAGTTCAACCATTCCATAAAGTCCAAGGGATATGAATATTCCCAAAGTCTAAAGTTATAAAACCACCTAATGTTGTCTTATTAATCAGCGAAGCATCTACCTAAATTCATACTAGGGGAACCATGAGTAGAGTGCCCACTAGTTGGGGTTTTGTTTATTCTAGGGTGAACAAGGTAATAATAACAATAACAATAATAAGGTCATAACAAAGGTAAATAGGCATGGCTAAATAAAACAGTGATAACGCGGGTGACGGAGCTCCTGGCTCCTCACCGGGAGACCGCGCAGGCCCCCCTTTGCCAGTTCGGCCGGGGGCTTAGGGTGAGATCTCAAGCTCTCTTTCTCTCTGTATGTGGAAAGATTGTCTGCCCGCAAGACACACGAGACACAGCGATGTATACAGGTTCGGGCCGCTGCGAAGCGTAATACCCTACTCCTGTGTTTTGGTGGATCTGTGTATGAATGAGTTACAAAGTGTGAGCTGACTTCTCCCCCGTTCTAAGCTCTCAATCCGGGAAAGAATCAACCAACCCCCTCTCTATGGGCAAGGTCCTCCTTTTATACTTCAAGGGGATACCACATGCACCCTTCCCTTTCCAAACTGGACTTTTCTTCTCTTTATGGACGGAGATCGGTATGGTTGCCGTCCAAATGACACTTTGATGGGACAGCCCATACCTGCTTCCACTCCCGGCGGAGACAGGCGCAACGTGGGATCGTGGCTGCCCGTTGCTGATGCGACCAGTGTCAGACCGGTCATTCTTGTCCACCACGCGTCGGTTTAACAACGTGCATGTTTGCCCTTCTTCGTGTAACACCTTGCCTGTAATGGTTAGGATGAAGCCTGGTATATATCGATACGGGGTTAACGTGCCATCTTTGGGATGTAACACGCTAGCTCCAGCTGGGGACGAGTGCTTAGAAGCTCACACCTTGACGGGATGGGGCAAGGCGTGCGTCAGACCGCCTGCCGCCACCTAACTCGCGATTTGACCGGTCTGTGACTGGTCACAGACCGGATAATCGAGTGCACTGCACTGCACTCCGTGCGGCGTGACACGCTTAGCCGATGTGCAATAAATGTGGTTAGGTGAGCCCTGCTGTGCTCACCCAACCTACGTACATAGTGCAAACCCCTCAGGGGGTCGGGGCACCTCGGCCCTCGGGGTCGGGGCAAGCGCACCCCGACCCCCCCTCGGGGGAAATCAGGAGGAGGGCGGACACCTCACCCTCGGGCCCGACGTCCCCGAAGGTGCCAGGCCACGTGGGCGATTATGTCTGCCTCAAGCCTCTGGTTATGATACTCCCGGTCCCATATCACCGACAGTAGCCCCCGGCGTTATGCCAGAGCAATTTCCCTTCCCAAGGGAAGCGGTCAGGTGTGACGCCACCCTTAAAGCCTGGTGACAGGTGGGACCGGTCTCCATAGTTGGGCAAAATACCCAACGGTCTCAATCCATGCACATTGGTATTGGTAACTTTGGTTGTCCATAATGGGCGGTCTATTCAAGACTGCCACACCACTTGAGCAGCGCGCGAATCTGGGTGAGCAGATTTATCTCGCTCGGAGATACGGTAACGCCGCTTCGGTCGGCGAGCGTAATTAACGCGCGCACGATACAATCCGTTTCGATTGCCACAACCGCATATCCACTTCACGCGCCGTAAGCGGGCAAATGGGATTAGTGGAAGCGTGGGCACGGGAAACGAGGGAGCGAGATAGCGAGATACGAGGGAGCGAGGTAGTGGGCGCGAGAAACGAGGAGCCAGGCCTAGCGATGGCAAGGGTATAAAAGCATCGAGAAAAGGATTTGCTCCCTTCCTTTCGCCATTGTTCCTCTTGCCCTCGCCGCCTGAGCTCTAACTCTTTCTCTGCTACGCCCTACTTTCGCCACACGCGCTCGTTCTCAATCATCTCTTCCTCCACCGCCATGGCACGGGGC